ACTACAAATTGTTTTTAGTTCACATTACTGCCAACCGTTTTTCAGAGCATTCTCTTAGTTTTGAGGCTGATTTCCTTCCTTCCAGGCAGACATTGGTTTCACTTCATTTCAGGGAGCCTATGAAAATCAACTTGCAGAAACATAGGTAGCTAATCCATCACAGTGAACATTTAGTGGTCTTTGTTGTACACCGTTATCACAAGGTAATGTAATTTAAACGGGGACCATTTTGAAAACCAGTCCATTGTTGGTGTGTTCAAGGACAGTCTGATTCTCAAGCAGGAGAAACAGCCGCTAAATAGCTGGATGTTAAATCCTGAAGATACGCAATAAGCAAATATGGACGCTGAGAGATATTTTATGGTCATTTCTTGCATTGAAGAGGCTTATGTTTTTCTGCAAACTTAGATCCTGGGTGGTGGAGTTGCATTTGATGCTTAACAAAATGAAAGCAAAGCCATTTATCCAATTTCTTTAAATGTACTAAGAAGCGACCTGTTATGGTTGTGCTATAATGACTTTCTCCCCTCAAAGGCACAAGTTGTGTAACATAATACAATCATAAAAGCATAGACTTGCTTCCGCCACTCTTGAGTCTGTATCTTTTGGTTGGTTTCAGTTAAGCGTGTGATCTCAACAATTGGGCAATATTTAGTGATATCACCACTAGGCTGGCACACTATGAAGTAGGCAATTTCCAGAAAAGTATATTGTTTTTCTTTTCAATTTGAGACATTTCGTTGAACTTATATTGTGTTCAGTTTCAATCTCAAGCTGCCGAAATGCCAGGTTTTGAGTTCTTCCAAGCTGATTTCCTTTGTTAAATGAACTGAAACCAAGGAAACAAATGTCTGGTATGCTTTGGAATACCGCCCGAAGTATTGTAATGCATGTCTGTAGTCAATGGAACATGCAGCACCACCGGTGTGCTCCCTTAAAAGATGTTGAGAGACAGAGCGATGTACAGTTGGGAGATGGCTCTGTTCTGGGCCTTCTCACCAGAGCCCACACTAAATTAACATCGGATTCACTTTGAGACTCCCAAATCCCTCCTGGGCTGTGTCCTCTCCTCTCTCACCCATTCTCCTGTAGCCCTGTGTCTCTTTATTCCTCCGTCTCCCACCTACTTCTCCGTAGCACTAACATTCCCAAAAGACCCAAATAAAGTAGCCTAAGAACACTGAACATTAATAAACGGATACTTTAGGGGGTTGGTTGGGGAAAGAAGGGGGGAGAAAACGGCCTACTTTAACACTTGTCACTTTCTCAGCCTCTCACACACACTCCTTCCTCCCTCCTAAATGTCTGCCAGTCTGCAGCCCTAGCTGAATAAACAGTTATGGAGGGAGAAGGAACAGACGAGAGGATATTTACTGTGTCGTTTCCCTGGAGGGATTTCTCTTTAAATTACCTGTTAAATGGCCTCCAGGGGCAGGACTTCAACATGCACTGGTGTGTGTGTCAGCGTTTGTGTGTGTGTGTTATGGCACGCTACGGGGCACTTTCCTCCATTTCACACATGCCTTCCCTCCCCAAGGCATGTGGCATTGTCGAGGAGAAAAACTGAATTAAAGTGATTCTGTCCTTATGTTCCTCCTCGCCTCAGTCTCTCTTCTTGCCTCAACACACACACACACACACACACACACACACACACACACACACACACACACACACACACACACACACACACACACACAGGCACACACACCTTCTTCTTTCCGTCTCACCAGTTCATCAGCGAGTGGTTATGTTCGGTGTTTGACCGCAGAGTCGGGGGAGTCGGGATGCCATGGACACTGCAAAAAGTTTCTACGCTGGAAAGTCATATTGAACAAGCAAATAGGAAGGTTCTCCTTTTTTGAATAGATTTTCATTTATTTCAGAAACATTGTACAAACAAATGTGTTCACGGTGAAACAAGACAGATTAACTCAGACTAATCCACTTGCATTAAAATAAGCCTTTCAAGCAAGATAAACATGTTGATGTACAAAAATGAAGGAACATTGTCTGACACATTTTCTTTATAGAGAATACAGACAAACACATGTTTGCATATTCTCACAGTGTTAGAATAATTGTATTGTGGATGCTATTTGGTGGTTAGGTCCTTTAATTTACTCTTGGTACAGTAGGTTTCGTCAGTGTGTGTGTATATGTATATATATATATATAAGTGTTGAGTCCTATACATTCACCAGTATGCCACTATAGGATTTGCTTAAACTCATTGCACTCTATTCCAAGTGTTCTGAATCTATTTTCCTAGGTGTATTGCCTCTGTAGTTACAGTGCATGACATTAAGGATTTTGGGAGATGGCCCTGTGGGCCATCTAAGCTAATTTACAGATGGCCCTGAGCCCAATAGAGATTGCCCTGAAAAATGCGCGCGGACGAAATGGCACGAAGGGTTTGGGGGGCCTCCCCCTAGAACATTTAGATTTTTGCAGGTCTTAGATGCTGTCTGCTGCATTCTCTCGACTGAATTATAAGATGAACCACCACAATATTTTATTCTTCATTTCACTTGTTTGTTTGTTCTTGTTTGTGTTAGCTCGCTTGCATGCCCTGCATAGCTATAAGAAATACTTAAGTTGTTGGTCAAGACACTTTCCATCTGATGAAGGCAAATGAAGGATTTTGGGAGATGGCCCTGTGGGCCATCTAAGCTAATTTACAGATGGCCCTGAGCCCAATAGAGATTGCCCTGAAAAATGCGCGCGGACGAAATGGCACGAAGGGTTTGGGGGGCCTCCCCCTAGAACATTTAGATTTTTGCAGGTCTTAGATGCTGTCTGCTGCATTCTCTCGACTGAATTATAAGATGAACCAGCACAATATTATATTGTACAATTTCAATTTTATTCT